GTTAGGTAGTGAGAATAGGAAACAGGAGTCCAGAATGGCAGCCTGCGAAAATAGAACAAAGGAAGGTCCAAGGACTGGAGTGAGGACCTCAGGTAGAACAAACAGCACTCCTGGCTAGCCCAATTTACATAGGGCAGGCCCGGGGTGGGAAACAAAACGTACAAAAAGAGGAGCCAATGGCCTGGGGGGTCTCTCTCCCACGTGCGCTCGCATATTCTCTCTCTCTTCCTCTCTCTCTCTCTTCTCTTCGCATCTTTGGGTTGGCATGCCCTCACATCTCAAGGAGGTATTTTCCTGTTATTTTCTAAATAAAACTGAGCTGTAACACAGAGCTGTTACACTGATCTGTCCAAGACCTGAGAGCTATAACACGGTCTGTCTGAGAGCTGTGACACGCCGAGGGCTTTAACGTCCGTCGCTTCAAATTTTTGTTGAGATGAGACAGAACCAAGGAGAATACACTCACCTGACATTGTAATATATATAATATATTATATATATGTTATACATATTATATTATTATGTTATAAATCTTATTTCAAATATTAGAAGCCCTCCTAGATTATATCAGATAGTCATATTGGATTCATTTAGGATTTTCCATAAAATGTTACAGGAAAAGCATGAGCAAACTTTTCAGCCAACCCAGGATAATTATATCAGAGCCTTGCTAGATTACAAACCTGAATTTGGTGGACATAAGCATGAATTTGTTTAAATGATAGAGGAATTTAGCCTAAGCCAGCATTTCTGGAGCATGGAACACATATCATTAGTATATACAAGGACTAATATCTGTTTTTACTTGCCTCCTTAAATTTAATATTTTTAGAAAAATACATTTGGCACATTGATCATGTACTATAAAGATCATCTTTAAATAATTGTATAAATAAAAATGTGAGTCAATTAAAAAAAATATTAAGGGAATAACATCAGGTATGAAAGCATGGCTAGATCGTGAATCTGGAAGCTGAGTGATTGAAGGAAGGAACACATTTGCTTAGGCAGATGACCTAGACTAACTGGCTTTAACCTCATTCATACTCTCTAAGTTTCAGTTTCCAGAGGGAAAAACTAGTATTCACCCCAGTTAGATAACATGAGGATTCACTGCAATCACGAATGTAAAATTTTCAGCCGAGTGTCGTTCTTTTAGGAATAAAGAATACGTTAGACAACTTTGTGGAGTCCGCTGTGAGCAGACACTATAATTTCACTCCTTTGAAGTTATTTTCCCTTCATGATCTCTCAAGTGAGATAGGTAGAGCTTTGCCAAGAAAAGTGGGAGGCTCCAAAGATTGGCAAGGTTGGATCAGAATCATCTGCCTCATTGCTTTAGCCTCAGCAGAAATATCTGTAGTAACCATCTCCATGGTAACCTCATGGGCCAGAGCACCGGTATCTGACTGGACAGAGGCAGAAGGACCCAGGAGGCAGTCAGAAAACCAGCTAGAAGAAGGAAGCTGTGTAGAAAAGGAAAGGGAACTCCATCAATGCTCAGAATTACAAGAAAATTGATGATAGTAATTCTTATTCATGGAGCATTGTAATAGAGCACTGCCACCGGCCACAACCCCTAGCACTCTCATGGCCGTTGCTGCCTGCCATAACCCCCAACCCCTTACCAGGAAACGGTTACCACAAGACCGTTAAACAGTCACTCAGCCATTGGTCGGTGCAGCAATGGGCTCCTCCCCCCAGCGAGCAACTGTCACTGAGTGACCGTTAGTAGTCCTGCTCAGTCATTGGTTGGAACCACAGTGGGCTCCTCCCCCTGAATAACTGTGCACAAGCTGCCGTTAGTAGGACATTCAGCCAACAATCCTCAGAGTGGTGCTCCTCAGATAGAGAGCGAGGTAAGAGGCAGACCTGGCCTGGTGCAGTGGGTGAGTTGGGGACCCAGGGAACAAGCTGGGGACTGTGTCCTGTGGGGCTCCAGAGTCCTCACCAAGGCCGCCCACTGGCCAGGTCCAGGCCTTGAGGTGGTGGTGACACGCTCCCCCATCCCCGCCTCAGTGACCTAATGGCAGCGGCCATTTCCGGGACTGGCCCCCGCTGGGCAGCCTGAGGAGCCTGAGGCCAGTTGGGTCCTGGGCACCTGGCTCCCTCAACAGTGGTGGCTCGGCAGGCCTGGGGACCTGGCCCTGAGGGAACCGGCAGTTGAGATCTGCCTCTTCAGCCAGGCCTGGGTGCTGGCAGGAAGACCCAGACTGGGTGCTGGGCAAACACTCTGGGGCAGGGTAACCAGTGCCTGCAGGGACCCCCTCCTCTCAGCCAGGCCCGGACCTCTGAGGGTGAAAGTTGTGCTGAGGGGCCTGGCCCTCAGGTCAGAGAATAGAGAATAGAGAATAGAATTATCAGAGAATAGCATTTGTTTGGTGGGAGTTTGGAGGAATGTTGTCACCTGACCCCGACCTGCTGGTTCAAGAACAAAGGATCTGACACCAAGAAGTTTTCAACAACTACCCACACCCCTTCCTCACCTTTCCTATAAAAGGGCTTTGCGGAGAGCTTTTGGGCAGTTTGGGGTTTTTAAGGCATGACCCACCTGTCTCCTTTCAGGGCCCTGCAGGAAACCTTTCTCTGTTCCACACTGATATTTTGGTCCTGTTCGGCCTCACAATACCAAGGCCAATACCAAGGTATGGTATTGTCAGGCACACAAATTTGCATTTCAGTAATAGCACCAGGGTCTGTCTGAAGTGCTTTAAGTGTTATTATCTTGTTTAATGCTTATCATAAGAATTGTAGTACCTATGAGGGGAGGTACTGTTATTTGTTCTGTTACTGAGTCCAAGCTCACTCTACTCAGCACATGACAGGTCAGTAAGTCTACAGACAGGGTGTTCAGGCAAAGAATACGACTTTATTCAGAAAGCCTGCATACAGAAGATGACAGACTAATGTCTCAAAATAAAACCATCTTGTCTGGGTCTGGATGCCAGGTTCTTCTATAGAATGGGGGATTGGGGGGCTGAGAAAGCAAACTAAAAAGGCATATATTTTGCATATATCTCCTGGAATGGCAAGCCTGGGGAAGAGATGTGCTAATTTCTTCCTTCATATAGCCATCCACAGATCGACAAGTTACTGCACAAAAGCATTTTGGTTTAACATTCAGGCAGAGGGTCACGGTTCCCCATGGCAGGCCATTATGTATGGACAGTATCCTTTTAGTGAACGAAAGCAACAAGAAGCAAAGGTTAAAGTAAAAGAAATGGAGCCATAATTGGCTTTTCCCTGTAACAATTCCACTTCATAGATGAAGACATTGAGGTTCAAGGGACAAGTCATTTGCCCACGATCTCAGGGCCGCTACAAATGAGCCAGGATTGGAAGGGGGCTTAGACACCTACTCTTAAAACTGCCCCTTCACAGGGCATGGTGGGAATAACAGTTCCTGGCATGCTAGGTCCCCAACCCTGTCTCCATGCCAGGAATCACTGGGAAATGTGGAAACCTGGCATCTTGACAAGCAAGCCATTGTCCAAGGTGCTAGTGCTTGACCCTAGCTGCATTAGATTCATTGGGAAATCTTAAAGAGATGCCAGTGCCTGGACCCAGTCCTGCTCTGTCAGAACCTCAGTTGGGAGTTGGGGCAGGTATTGCTTTTTTTTTTGATTCTCTAGACTATTCTCATAGCCTTGAAAAATGTACCCAGTCTAAAGCACTCATTCCTGGACTGGTAAAAGGTGTCTAAAATATACAAGACCCAATCATGCAACCCTAGTTACTTGATACCACAAGCTGGGAAGAGAGCGGGGATATATTGAGGGCCACTATGTGCCTGGTCCTAAATGCAGGTCTGTCTCTCAGGATGTCCTCACCTGGTACCTCTGATGATCTGGAGGGGTTGGTGAGAGGCCTGAGGGGGTCAGGATGGGGCATCAGCTCTTTTCCCTCTCGTTAACCCGTTTCTGGGAAATGGATATGCTGACAACTTGAACTGTAGATCCAGACTGATCAGCCTGAGAACAGGTGTCTGCCTTTCTGGATGTGTGGTCTTGAGCATGTCAGTCAGTCTCTCCAAGGCTCAGTCTTTCCTCCCACAGTATGGAAATGATGTGTGTAGATTGCATTCTCAGCGGTGCTCTATGTCACCAAAGGGATGACACGGGTTCTTGGGAGACAGACAAACAATTGTACTTTGTGTGTGTAGAGTACAGATATACATGCAGTAAATAAACAGATATACAATAGATCTATGACACTGACAATGCATGAGAGTGGTGACAATTAGGCAACAATATCTAAAAACACTTCTGGGTCGGGGGAGATAATAAAAATAAACTTGGGAGATGCTGCTATAACTTAGAGTGGTTGTGAGACTAAAATGAGAGATGGAATATAAAGTCCTTATGACAGAGCCTGGCACTCAGATGCCACTCAATAAATGCTAAGTCATAACTGTTCTTTGTCCAAAGTTCATTCAACACTCACATACAGATCCCAACCATACTTAGCAGCTATGCAAAGCTTTATAGGGATTCTGAGGGAAGAAAAGTTACCGCCCCTGACTTCACCAAAGAGCTAAGTGAAAGTTGAGCACAGGAGGCTAAATGCTGTCATGAATGGTTGTACATAAGGCCTGGGGAACTAAGGGGAGGCCGTGGCTGAGTCCTTCATTTCCTACCTGTCTCCACTGCTGGGCTCAACCTAGATGAGAGGTGACAAGGGGCCTTCCGTCTCAGTTCCTAGCCTTGTCTGCAATATCTTCTGCTCCCAGTATGGAAGCAGGGAAGAGGCTGTCTTTGTGTATTAAAAGGCTTAGCACCTGCCTGGGGCAGGGGAGGTGATTAAGGAAGTCTTCACTGAGTGGAGTCCGTCACATAGTCAAAGCCACGAGGCCGTGAGAGGGTGCTGTGGGTGAGGGGCAGCACTCGTGGATCTGGGGTGCAGAGTGGTAAGTCATGCTTAATGGTCAAAGACAGCTGCAGCACTACACTTCCCAGACGACTCACACTCCGGTTTCTGTTCATTTGTTTTGTTTTTGCCAGTGACCTTCAGTGACTGCAGGGGGAATGACAAGCTGCACTATGAGGTCTCAAGCCCTTACTTCAAGGTGCACAGCGATGGCCGCTTAGTCGCCCTGAGGAACATATCTGCGGTGGGCAAGACTCTGTTCATCCACGCCCGGACTCCCCATGCAGAAGACATGGCAGAACTCGTAATTGTTGGAGGGAAAGACATCCAGGGCTCCTTGCAGGTAATGTAACCACTTAGGATAAGTTGGTCCAAGGAAGAACACTGAGATTTGTGTGTCTTATGTGGAAAATGGGTCTTTGGCTTATTATTGGTCAAGAGTCTTTTTGTTGTTTGCAAATGATAGAAACCTAAATCAAAGCAAAAGACAGCATGGCTAGGGGAGCTGATTGGGTCATGTGACAGAGACCTCAGGGACAGCTTTGCCTGCTAGCATGGCTGTGCATCCATGCCCAAATGATGACTTTAGCTTTGGTCTTTCTCCATTGTGGTTCCACTTTGCTTCCACTGACTTCGCTTATAGATAGTCACAGCCCTTCCTGCTTTCTGGTGTGGTCTCAGCAGCCTCACATCATCTTCCCAGTCTAAAGTCATCTCAAAGAGTATCTCTTCCTATACTGCCACCCCAAGCTTGAAATCAAGTCTCACTGGCTCTCCTCAGAGCATGCTCCCATCCCTGATTCAGTTTCTATGACAGTTGGATCCTGATGCTCTAGTTGGCTAAGCCTGAGGCACATGCCTGGCCCTGAAATCAGGATGAGTTCAGCCCCACCTAAAATATATGGACTGGGAGTAAAAGAGTTAAGTTCTGAAACTAGGATGCTGTCATCTAAGAAAGGGAAATGGAGGTTGTGCAGGTGAGAACCACAGTCGCATGCTAGAGTCGTATGTGAGGCACCCGTGGCGTATGGTGCTGCTCCCTTCCCATGCACTGGTGTCTGTTCCCTTCTACATGCACCTGTATGAAGATCTCTGCCCCTGCGCATATGTGACTTTAGGAATGCCACAAACTGCTCTTCAGCCTTCCTGATTGTGTCATCCCAGGACATTTGGTAATATGAATTTGCTTACTTCTCCTTCACTAGGAGCTCAGAGACTCTGTGGCTTTCTCAATTACAGAAAGGGAAGACACACAGCAAGACCCTAGCAAAATAATTACAATAATAATGGTGTGTCCCCAGCTTGGTGCGACTGGACTAGCCTTTTCTCCTACCTGCTGCTGGCCTGCTCTTACCCACTTTATCAAAGCCTGTGATTCCCACTGCTTTTCTCCATTTGTCACACTCCCCATAACCCTGCTTCATCTGCTAATTTTGTTCAGTGGTGGAGTGAACACCAATCCCACTGTTGGGGAGCAGAGACAGTACAAATGGCATCGTGAGTACTGCTCTCCTGCCTATGCTGTCTGTGTGACCTTGAAAGTGTCACGTCACTTCCTTATCTGCAGATGAGAGGGGTTAAACAGTCTGCAATGGTAAATAAGTGGCATGTGTTCTGCTCTACTCCACCACCATGTACGTTGCAGATATTGTTAATCACCCTGCTTGACCCGAGTATCTCTCCCAAGACACTACTTCTGAAAGCTACTATCCATTGATCACTTAGAGATGTTTCTAGGGCCGGAGTATATTTGCTGTCCCTGGACTGGAAAAACTCCATAGTTCCTCTTTGTATCTGTGAATCTGTGAGTTAAGCGTAGGTAAAAAGCTAAACATGAATCCACAGAGTGCCACTGGTGTTCTCAAAAGAAAACAGGATCTTGGTGAACACATAACAGTGTGGAAACCCACTGGCACCACAAAAGAGAGTTTATCTCTCACTTAACCATGGTCATTTTCACAGCAGCTCACTAACTTGTGATATAAATGACTTCCACATGCCTAGCAACACACCTGCCAGGATGTGCAGTACAAAATGCTTCTTGGGAACAAGTAAATGGTACAGAGATTCACAGAAGGGGGTTTTGCATGTGGGATAGAATGAAGTTAGATGAACATTGTTCATTGTGATTGACAGCTCATCTCTAAATCTAGAAAAGACAGTGTCATAGTATTTAGCTCCAAGCAGAGCAGACGGGATTTGAGACATTTCCTAGGACAAAACTTTACCTTGCTGGGCTTGGAGTCCTGGGATTGTTACCAAGAGACTCAGCCATGAAGAGCTGGTCACTTGAGTCCCCAAAAGAGCCCCTTCTAGAAGCCCAGCCTCTTGGAGCCCTGGCCATCTCCTATTTGTCTCTGTCCACAAAGCTTGCTTGCTATTGTTTCTTCTTGTAAAGTATGGGGGAGGCTGTTGTGCCATTCAGTTTGCCCAGCTCCAGCAGAACAGGTATTTATCTCCCACCTCCAGTAATTTTATGAGATTTTAAAATGGGCCTTGTGAAGTTGCCCAGATGTGTCCATAATAGAAAGGTCCAAAAAAAAAGAAAGAAAAACAAAAGAGAGAAGGCTAGGAAAATAAAATAGCTAGCCAGAGAATCCCTCTAAGGAAAGCACACCCCTTAATAGATACCCAGTTAGTATTTTTGAAGCCCTACTGTGTGTGGTGCAGCAGGCCAGCTAGAGAAGGAAAGCAATGAGTACAAGAGTAAGCCCAGCTCCTTTCTGGGGAGAGAAAGTGACCATGTATGTTGATTAAGTACCAATATGGAGGCGATGGTGATGGCTGCTCTGTGCTTTTACAGAAGGGGGAGGAGGGCTGGTGAGGACAGCCAGTGCTTACTTGGTGCTCACTGCATGCTGGGTGCTGCCTTCATGGGCCACAGATGCTGATCCTTCTAATTCCCCCACCACCTCTGAGGCCCATGCTACTGTCCTCATTTTACAGACTGGGGTAACTGAGGCACAAAGAGATGAGTGAGAACTTGTACTGCTTAGCGGGACTCTCATGAGTGTGTGCGTCTCAGAGTCTGCTCTAATGTGCTATTTCTAACACTCCCAACCTCCCTGTGAGGCTGCTAATGGCACCCACTTCCCACAGATGTGAGAACCTGGCCAATATGCCCTTGATTGCAGTTGGCAGAAACAAGATTGAGACTCTGGCCTCTCCACCCATTCATTCCCTCTGCCACTCTGCTTGCCAGCAAACTGCGCCACCTGGGTGGCTTCCCATGGATCCAAGGATGAGGGCATGAGTTAGAGCAGTATAGTGGCAATGGGGGAAAGACAACCAATGGAAAGTGTGGTTTGAAGGAACACAGAGCCAAGACCCAGCATCCCAATGAGTCCAGTTGTCTAGCTTAGGAGGACGGAGATGGATTGCACCAGTAGGAAAGGTGAATAGTCCAGCTTGGATGTGTTGAGTTGGCAGCTCCTGGGTACATTTGGATAGGGACAGGGTTGGATCTCCAGGTAACACCTGGGGGGAAAATAGCATAGTAGTAGGGCTTTGACTTTGGTATCAGACTTAAGTGAGTTCAAATTTCTGCTCCATCACTTAATGTTCACATGACTTTGGGCAAGCCACTCACTTCCCTGAACCTCCACATTCTCATCTGTGAAGCAGGGATAAATAAGAATAGTCTCAATCGCAGGAGCACTCCATTGGGAACAGCACCAGATAGCAGGTGACATGTCCCATCAGTGGCATTATTTTAGAACCTCATGAGAAAGGATAAGGAATTGTGGGCAAAACATCCTTGCTGAGGCCATGACACAGAAACCAGAGATTAGGGGCAGAAGGAGAAAGTGAGGCCAAAGAGAGAAACAAGGGCACTGGGGCACCCAGCCCAACCAAGACAGGAGAGATGTCACAGTGGCTGGCTTCACATCATTGCATCAGGGAAGGACGGATTCTCTAAGACAAATGCAACCCCACTGAAGCCCAGTTCAGCTGCAGTAACTGAGCCCAACAATTCCTTAATAAAAGAATGTAAGAATGTGATTCTCTCATCCTACCTGCTTCCTGTGATCCTGTTTCACAGGAAAGCCTATAGCCCAAATCTGTGAAGTCTGATTGTTAATTATGGTTTAGTTATAGATGTTCTAGCTATTGCTGCATTGTTAACGGATTGCCCAGAAGCTGGTGCCTGCCTGACATGTGTAAGATCATCTTAGATCTGTGTGGGTGGAGGAGCAGTTTCATTTTGACAGCCACGGGGGGCAGTTAAGGAGGGGGCCGAGATAACCATATGTGCACAAAGGTGTTTCCTAGCCCATGGAATGTGACCATGAACTTGATTCACAAGAGTACGTCTGGATGGAACTGTAGCTTGTCCACACCAAATCCATTGTTGCTTGCTGCCTAGGAGTGGAGAACATGAAGACAGCAGAGTGTTTGCTTCCATTTACTTATTAATTAGTTCGTTATTTTTACCTTGAACATAGAGCTCCAAGGGTTTACATGGAAAAACTGTGTGTTTCATTCCTTTTGCATCTTGGATGGAGTTGTCTTTATGGGCTGTGTAAATGGGACTCATCAACCTCATTTACACGTTTCAAGTCTGGGAGGAAAATGCCACTTATTTATTTATGTATTTCTAATTTAAGAATTTGTAGCTTCCACAACTGTAGATTATGGCACTGAATTCTGACATCAATTAAAAACTCAATAAAGTCAGGCTGGGGAACTTCACAGAGCTTGTAGGAATTTATTTTGAATTAAGTTTGGGAGCTAAAGAGACTGTACCTACCAACTTCATCTTAAAAAGTGGGTTTCATGCTCTAAGCATCTGTAGAATTTAGATTCCTGTGACCCAGACAGCTGGATCTCATGAGCAAAGCAGGAAACATGCTTGTAACAGATGGTAGAGTTGTGGGGGCCACAGACTACAGGCTTGAATCAGGCTTCCCTGCCCCCAGCCTGGGGTATCAGTGCAAATCTAATTAGATTACTCTTCGGCTTAATGGTCTCTTACTTCCCATCAGGGTATCTGGCCTATATGATGAATTCTGAAGTCTTTATATATGTGTGAAAAATGTCCTTTACAGTCTAGCCTGATCTCTACAGCCTTCCTGCAGGTCAGATTCCTTTTCATTTTTAAGTGGCTTGACCTGCTGAAATGTTACTTCCTCTAAGAGCACTCCCTGGTACCAAAGGAAGGTCTCCTCTGCTAGTCTCATTTCTAGCACCTGTTCTCTTCCTTCCTGGCCTTCTTCTCCATTGCTAACTAAACCTTTGCTTCCTTGTTTAAGTATTTCAAGTCTGGCCCTCTGAGAAGACTGCAAGCTCGCTGAAGGCAGGAGTGTAGTCTGTTTCCTTTCTACCTCCCTGCCCAACCCTCAC